ATGGTAAGGGTAGTCGTATCATTTTCTTCACTTGTCGGTTCCGGCGTCAGGTTCCGCGCGCACCTTTCTGCGGCCGATATGAAAGTGGCTGCTCGCTGATTCATCGTAGAAATGATGCTGCTCTACGATAGTATATGTATAGGTTTATTTTCTTGTCTCGTATGGAGCGATGATGGGGGTATCCAAATCTTAAGATACGCATGCTTCTTTTACCGCATGTGCAGGATGTAGAAAAAAAGAAGTTGATGTAAGGATGATGAAGGTTGAGAGGTACCCATGTAGAATTTATTTCAAGTTCAAAGTAAAATATGCTCCTTCGTCATCTCCAGGGCTATTTGTCAGTCTTTCACGGAGTAAGAACGGGCAACTTTCCAATATGTTTCCTTCCTCTTATACTACCCTAATGGCTATAGGAAGGATCGATGTGTTACTTATTCCAAAGTTAACTTATAGAAAGAGCTAAGTACCCAGATATCTTTTTATATACCTACATGGTATACATTGGTATCGAAAGCGGTATGTACATATATGCCATCACTAACTCTTCAGAGACGCTGACAGCCTTAAATATTTAGCCTCTTCAAGTACTACAATTATTCCTAATCTACCTACCTAGCTCAGGTAACGTTGTTTAGCAATACACATGAAAGACGCCAGCAGAAAGCAATACTTTCATATGATTCGGACTGAACCTAGGTGAAGTTTCCATAGAATCACAATCTAATATGAGTCACCAGAACATATTCCAGGATAGTAAATTCACGGTCACCAAGAACAAGATATTTATAAGAGAATGTTTATTCCCAACACTGGATCTACTACTATTGCTTTCCAACTAACACATTTCCACTTGTCTCCATACAAAATCCAAGAGAAAACTTCAAAGATCTACCACAGCTCAGTAGCTAACTTAAGACCTGACCAAGGTAAGGCCGTAGGTCGAGAGAATCTCGTTGACGGGCTGGAAGTAGGTAATGCCGCCAACGGTGCAGTCGCCGGAGCCTCCCGAGGTGACACCCTGGGCCTGGGCACCGGTGTAGAAGGACCCGCCGGAGTCGCCGGGCTCGGCGCAGACAGTGGTCTGGGTGAGGCCGGTGACACGTCCCTCGGCGTAGTTGACCGTGGCGCTGAGAGCACCGACAGTACCGCAGTGGACGCCGCTGGTGGAGCCGGAGCGGCAGATGCTGGAGCCGGTGGAGGACGCGGTGCTGCCGGACACGGGCAGGTTGCCCTGGCCGTAACCGTCGATGTTGCCGCTGAGGGTGGTGCCGCTAACGGTACGGATATAGCTCATATCAGCGCTGCCGGGGAAGACCGAGCCCGAGAAGGTTCCGAGCGACGCACCGCTGCTGGTGGTGGCAGAGCTGCCTGCGGTACCACAGTGGCCGGCCGAGACGAAGCCGGTGGTGACCGAGAAGCCGACAGAGCATCGGGCAACGCGGTCGATGATGTAGGCGTCGCCGCCGAGGACCGTGGCGAAGGTAGTAGGCATCGATTCAACTGTGCGCACCTCAAACTCGGATGCGACGAGACCGACCTGAGAGGCTAGCGACTCAGCGTGGGCGGTGCTGCCGGAGAGAGCCTCGAGGACGAGCTTGTTAGCGGCGACATCGACGTAGTACGCCGCGATGCCGGAGCTGGCCTCGTCCTTGGCGAGGGAGTTGGGATCCTTGATGTCCATGTTGTCAAGTGCTAGCTTAGCATCCTCAAGCTTGGAGAAGCTGTTGGCCACGACAGCCGGGTTGGCGCCAGCAGCGCTCACCTCGGCAGCCAAGGATTGGTCAGTGACGGCGACGTTGATAGTGGTGCCGTCCTCGGCAATCCAAGCGCCGGCGAACGAGTCACCCGCAGAGGCGCGCAGCTGCTCGATGACCTCGGAGGCCATAACATCCCTGGTGACACGGGCATGGGCCTGCTCAGCGTCCAAACCCAAGTCGCGCTTCATGGCGGCTACGAGCTTCGGGTGGAGGCTGTTCGAAGTCTGCGTGGGGGCACCGTAGACAACGGGCAGGACGGTTGCCAGGAAGGCGAGGAATCCGAAGAGCTCCATTTCTAATGTTTTGAAGATAACACTTGCGAGAAAGGGGCACTGAAGTTGTAGAAGCTGGAGAGTAGGCAAGATGAGTCCAAGATGCTGCTAAAAACTACCAGACAGAATGAGAACATTCGCACTCCTTTATACTCATCCCGATTCCAGTATCATGACTTGCATCACGCTCCTGTTGTCGCTGTCCAGAACAGAGCCCTCCATTAGACTAGCCATCGCCAGATTTCTCCTTCCCAATCTGCCCAAATCCGTCCCGCGATGTGACCCAGGTTTGAATAGCATCGGCAGGGCAATCGTCTAAAGGCGCTTCGAGAAACATCAAGCCTGCGACGTTATAGCAAGATAGGCAGGACAGTCCTCGAAAGAAACCTTCGAAGATCACGCATAGTCACTGTGCGACGAGACGACACATAACCTAATAGGAAGGAGGAAGATGGAAGCAAGAAATTAGAAGGGAGTTTATGAAAGATAAGGTGCTGTAACTCCATGCCGACGCACCTTATGACCTTGATCAAGATGCCAAGCTATTTCTAGATCATGGGCTTCAGATCGGTTATATCTTGTTGCTCCTGGCTGACAAACCGGGGGGATCGACGCTTCCGGCCCGCGAGAGTTAGATCGTCGGTAGGCGGTCTTAGCATGCAATCTAGCATGTGCTTCAGCTCTAGCCTACCGGTAATCTGCGGTTTCAGCTATGCGGAAACTGCTGTAATTCTCCGGCTGTTCTAGCGGCGAGCCCCGGCAAACCCGGCCCTTCCCGCCGGCACCCCCTACCCCTTTCTCTTAGCTAGCTTCATTGCTCTCTCTCTCCGCGTCCATATTTAACAATCTAGGCTCCCTGGGACTGATGTAATCCGAAGTCTGTCCGTTTACGCTTTCCGTTCCGGGTAAGCAGCCGAGGCATCCAGCAGAAGCAGCGGAATCCAGTGCCAAGCACGGCGTTCAGCACTAATGAGGGAACTTCAGTCTTGCTTTTGCAAGCCCCGCGAAGCACTATAAGCCTTGGCTGCTACATGGCCTGAAATGGAGGGCACCTGAGAACCTCAGCAAATCCGCACGCCTTCCTTTATTAGCGTTACAGAGGTGGCAAACAAATTAACCGACGTATGAAAGGGCGCTTAATTTAACCTATTTACTCATTCTTGTTGTCGGGTCCTTAAGAAGTTACCCTTGCGAATAGTTCACAGTAATTGGGTGAGCTGCTCAGCTGAACAAGTAATGACCACCTTCCCTAAATGCACTAATAATAAAGGTTCTATTAAGCCTTATTTATCAACTATAGGTATTCCATCGGAGACCGTAGGTATCCACGCTATATTGAAAAAGCATCACCTGATTATAGTGATATGGTTGGAATCGCATTCCACTGCATGACCTATTTATTTATGTTATTAAATTGAACATCAGGAGATAAGGGCCTTGATAATTGACCAGATTTCATTCCACCGACCAATTTGGGGCTTCCATTTCTTGATTCCAAAACCTCCAAATCTAGAGGCTTCCATGCCAAGAGGTAGGCATCATGTGTATGCAATACATGACTTGGTACGAAATAGGCTGGTGAGATGGAATTGACTTATGCCAGCACGAATCCGTTGCCTGTCGTTCCCAACCAATATCACAAGCTCAGTCAAAGCTTTCATTTATCTCTGCTCTGGGACCGTCATCGATAACCGCGTTCATTCCGGGGCGAGGTTCGCCAGTCTCGATAAACTTGATATCTTCAGTATCGAGCGTCATGACAATATGATCCCTAATCTCATCTCTTCGTTCCTGCTTGATCTGGGCTTCGATACGATGGTGCCCAAATGTGATTATATCCAGTTTAATTTCGATGAATCGCTTCTTGTCCCAAATCTCAGCTCGTTGGCCCCAGAGCTTATTTTTATAAGTGGCAGCGAACTGTGGTGGTGTAAGGTCAGGATACCACTCCAAGAGCTTAAGTCTAACGTATTCTCCCGGGACGGGGTCGCTGTTGCGCTCTACGATTATGGTGAAGCTTTGGTTACCGACAGTGAGGATCTTGGGCTGGTTGTCTTTGATCCAGAACTCGGACTTTTGTGCTGGCATGTCTGACGATGTCGCTGTTGCTGAGGGCGTAGGTCCCAGTATGTTGGTAGATCCTGCCGCCGTCGTGGACTTCTGTTGATCTGTGTGGAAAGACATTGTCCCCTAACTACCTACCCAGTTTATTTGTCGGTTTGTGGGTTGTTGATAGTGAGGGCGAAGGCAGGAACTGTGAGAAATCTGATCCTAGGGACCTAATCTCGGAGATGATATCCTTGTATAAGGGATACACCTAAGGGAGATACCTAAGACATTATAAGACAAAGAAGGCTCTTGTATTTATACCACGATCTAGACAGTTAGGCTTAGAGTTCCTTGCACAACAACATAGTTGCAACCCTTATCATATGGTCCACCTCGTGACAGGAACAACGTTGATGAGAATGATCTGTGTAGGGAGAATATGGGTAAAGGAATTATCAATAGGCTGCGAGAAACTCTGGTCATATAGGAAATTCTGGTAGCTATTAAAGCGTGAAGGGGTGCTCAGATACTCACACTTTCATCAACTTTATACGGGTCAGGGGTAACTAGGTACTCTGAATACATCATATGGATATCTGTCTGAATATTCATGATTTTATATTCACGACATAATAACCAAATTTACGAAATAGTGAAAGTGATAGGAGGGCTATGACAAATCTGGCCGCTCGAGTATACTGTATGTGACTTGAATGATAATATTCAAAATCTAAAATAGCAAACATGTAAATAAAATTTGAATGGTTTAGCAGAATAATTTAAAGTACCCATGTATCTAAATGAGTGTTAGCTCATGTCGCGTCTGTATTGTGACACGTAGACTCGCTCCCTATCGCGAACCTCCATCCAAGTAACGGTTATATTGCCTAGGAAACACACCGTAACCATCGAACAGACAATGGTACCTATAGAGCAGAAGTTAGCTCATTCCCCTTCCATGGCTTAACGGATATGGTTCAGGGAAAGACCCGGGTGCAAGTCCCGGTGGGTGCAGTTCCTTTTTTTGAGCGGTGGCCTTGGGTTCACATCGACCTCGTGGCGGTTTAAAAGAAATTTCTTATGCATTTTCCTAAGTACTTTCGTTCGTTATGCTAACTCCCTTCACATGTAGAATTTGCTCTTCAGTACCTAGGTGCCTACATCGCATTAAATCTGTTCTACGATATTCCATTATTTTCCTTGCACCCCTTTTCTTTCCCCTTTAACATTCTCTATTTACTTCACATGTCCCCTAAGTTAATACATGTACTATGCCCTACCTTTTGACGATCTCAATTTGTTCACGCACCTTCAGATTTTATCCAAGAGTCTTTCTTAGTATTTCTCAACAGATCATATTGTATTGCTTGGTGAATACCCATGCAGATGTCTATCCAAAATATTTCATGCTATCTTAGTATGACCTGTAACCATAACTCTTGAGGAACGTGTATAGACCTCATGTATTTCCTCGTCATAGAAGCAAATCATCGGCCACTTTTCTTACTGTTATGGTGGTGGGCCGAGCCTCCTTTGTGGCCCCCCTGTTGATTGCTGGTACCGACGCTGTCGTGGTGACCGCCCCTACTACCTGAAGCATTTGAACCCGTTCCCTCCTTCTCCGGCCGAGGGTTGGGGTTCGACTTGTCAATCTTGTAGCCTCCCCAGCCGCTGCTTCCAGACTTGTTGTTAGAAGACATCCTGGCGAGGGTCGCTCTCTGGTGTTGTTATGGCAAGTTGCTGTTTTTGTGTTCTGAAGTTGGAGATTGGTCTTACTTCAATGGTTGATGCTTGTTTTTGGTGTGAAAAATGATAATGATGCTCTTGGTGGAGTACCTTGGTAGGAATTGAATTATGTTTTGAGCCGGAGAGAAAATCTTTTAAATAGCTTTCATGGCTGGGTTTTCGAAGCATATTGCTGTCTTCAAAATCCAGTTTGTCACATCCTTTCTTAATAGAAGATAGTCCCCGTTGCTCTTGATCCGTTATATATGAGCAGGTCAACTCACCCGCGGAGAACGTGAAGTAAACCATAGCTTGAGCTTTTATAAGTTGGTGAATCCTACGTATTTCTTAGTGGAGATCTATTTTACGAGAAACATCATCGAAGGATCTGCCGAAGAGTTTTTGTGTGAGTGAGGCGAGATACGACTTACTAGATGATTATAAATCTGGATCAAGGTCACTTTTTGACTGTTGGTAATCTGTGTCACTTTCGCATTTTATATATACACTCAAATTCTTCTTGAATCTGGCGTCCTGGAGTATCACCATCAGGGGCACAGCATACGGAGCTCTATCTTCAGCTCCGATATCGTCTGATCAGGATATTTACCTAGGTAATCATGTGAATATATAGATTGATGATTAATGATTAATATTAATACCCACCTACGTAAGGATGTATACCAGATCATTTTGTGTTTCAGAAAAACTTGTTGGTCAACATTTCTGGGCCACCCCCTTTTTGTAGCTCCGGCCCCCTTTTCAGTCTCATATTTTCTCGGGACTAAGTTCTGCTAATTCCTCAAAGTAATATTCTTTTCGTTTCTTATTCACTTATGCACTCAATGCTATGGGGAATACTGTTTGAACGAAGACAGACTGGTGCGAGAAGGGACGCGTGATACTTATTTCCCTATGAACCATGCTAAACTAACGGTGAATAAGTACTGATTAGTATTTTCAATCTTGCGTGATTAACATTGAGGGGTTATCGTATCTAATATCCCCAATTGGTTACTCAATACTAGCCCTTTGTTCATATCCTTATGTCCTCTCTACAAAGGCATACTCATTCCAAAACTCCAATTGTCCATATTCGGCAGCCTCGATTCCCAGTCGCCACACAATATCCACGATTCTTATCATCATTCATAAAAATATATCAACATCAGCCCTCGATCAAATGATCGTCTTCCCTTGACCTCCGTAGCGCCTGCTGTAACCGTTCATTCTCCTCGGCTCTGATGCGGCTGCGCGCAGTCTCGAGCCTCTCGACGCCGGCATTGATAGTCTCGATGTGAACACTCAGCGGTATACTCGTGGTGTCTGCTAAGAGTTCGGGAGCGGCAACTCGATCCCTCAAATCGCTTAGTTTCGTCTGAATATCAACTAAATCCTGAACCAGGCTATCTAGTCGTCGAACGGCGGAGTGTCGCTGCGCCTCCACCTGCCGCAGAAGGCTCATTTGAACCTTCAGGTTATGCAGGCGACGGGTGTTAGCCCCGACGAGCGTCCAGATATTCCAGAATACTTCACTGTGTTTCTCCTTGACGACATTGCCAGTATGCACAACGTGCTCGTTGATGAGTCCAAGGCTGTTCTCCGCCTGGTCAAGAAGGCGCAATATGCCATGCGCCTCTATGATGAGGTTTCCAATCTTGTCTGAGACCAGGGCCGTGTGCTCGATGTACTTGTCGAGGAGAGCGCGCTCGTCGAAAACCGCTACCTGGAAAGGGGAGAAGAGCCAGCTGTTGAAACGAGACAGCATGTTGTTGTTGGCCTCGCGGTTTAGGGCGATGGAGTCGATGTATCGCGACGTCCACCGGTTAATGCTGATGACGCTATCAACCGCGCTGCCGACGTGGGTGTTGAACATCTGTAGATCGTTGGAGCTAGCGCGGACGACTTCGATGTAGTTATCGAATTCATGCACCATCTCGCCGCGTGTCGGCAATTCGCTGTACTTAACCATGGTGCGAAGGTCACGAACGGATGCTTCTGATCGCTTCATGTCCATAGGCAGCGAGACGCCTTGTGCGGAGTCTTCGAGTACCTTCTCAAATTGAGCCTGCACATTCATAAGCTCGTCGAATTCAACAAGCGAGGAGCCATTTCGTGATCCCGAGTGTGCTGTGTCCGGGCAGAACGGGAGGTTCATTAGGGACAACCCAGGTATGCGGCAAAGGGGCGCTAGCGGTGTGGAGACCGAGTTGAGGAGCATGTCTTTGGCCATTATACATGAGCCGATGGTCAAATAAAGAGCCAGCATGATGGCTAGCGGCCACTGTGCGTAGCGGAAAGCCATGCGAAAGATACCAATAACCCAAGAAGCCAAGTCGAATAGAAACTCGGGAGCAGATGATATAAACCTCTCTGCGAGCGAGGGTCTGCGAGATGGCACGTTTTGCCTCTGTGGAAGTTTTCGTGGGGTTGGGTCGTCGTCTTCCTGGCGATTGGCTCTTCTCCTCGTCACCCGCGCTTCTTGCATGATGGGTTGAGCAGTCCTGGATGAACGGCGATTTTTCCGCTGTGGACTACTAACTTCTACAGTTGGCATAAAGAATTCGGGAACGGGCGTTCGGTCTTTGTCCATTGAGACACGCCTAGAAGTAAGCGAAGGTTGGAAGGGCGCTCTTCGAATAACGTTATCTTCGTCTGCCCTATCATAAAAATCATGAATGCTGTCCTGAGACCCAAGGCTTAGATCCTGAGAAGAATTCGGCAGAGAAGGTTGAGACTGGCTGCTAAATACGAGAGCGTCACCCTCAAAAGGATCCTGAACTATTGCGGTATCGAAGCTATCGTTATCACCTCCTTCTACCATGCGCCAAGAATCTTCGACGGAGATGGGACTTTTTCGAGTTCGTGCCATGTTTCGTTTTGGTGAGTATATGTTGTATGATTCCAAGATTTATTGTTTTCGAAAAGTCTAACTTAAGAGTTTCATGTTGTTATGTTTCCGTATTGAATTCTTCGCTTTGAGCTGCTGCTATGTTGAATGTTAAGTGTAGCAACTTCATTCAATGTTCCACGCAGTCGCAGGCGCAGTCGCGGTCGCGACCCAAGTATTAAACTCTTCAAATAGAGTTTGGTATAATCTTTTTGTCGGTAATATCGAGGACTAGGCAACGGGTAGTCACGAGTGTTATATACTAATGCCAAGATCCTAGACTTTAGTGTTGAGCCCGATAAACAAGGGTCGTAAACATGCAGTGACTCATAGAGAGCCGTTGTTGGAACGGGAAGGATAGAGAAAATTCATGGATTGGGTAGATTATCCGCACAGACATCTCATTTCCAAATTGTATCTTGAGAAGATGCAAGTTTTATGAAGGCATCCATGCGACTTTTAGGTTGTGAGACTTTAGGATGTAGAGATATCATGAACGGGTCGCGGCTGACTTGATGTCACGGGGTTAGCGTCGTGCCGTGTGATTGGATCCTGTACCATATCGAGTAATAACCAAACACAACTGGTCCCGAAGTGGATCCTGAGCTTGAACACGGTAATCCGCATGTATGGAGTACATATGCTAGGCTACAGAGACATATAGTATGACGTTGGTACCCCATACTACAGAGATTCAAAGGTGACATGTTCCATCCGTCATACTATCTCTGATTTGGATTAGCTTCGCTGCGTAGCGTGTCAAAGCTCCAGATCCCTGTTCAGTTTTTCTCCAACTCGTTGTGCGCAAATCAAATCAAGTCAAATCTGCTGAAGTTATTATTTTTCATGAGAAAATCTCGTCATGAATTGAAAGTGACGATCAATTGGCAAGCATGCTCTCACGAAGGGTAATGAGAATATGCCCTCACATATCTAGGCTTGCGTCTCGAACACGAAGTATCGAGTCATTATCATTACCTTCCCTTACTCACCTTTGGCATCGAAACTATGCGTCAAATAAAAAGGCGAAATCAAGCTCGAATCCCCCACCACCAGACCTTGAGCCTCCCGATCATCGAAAAATCGGCGTCCAACAAAAGCTATTTATGTTTTCGGAATATAGTCCAGGATCGCCCATCCTGCTGCCTAATGGTACCCGAATCTATAATCGACTCGTAGACTTTTTACGAAAGCAATATATAAGATATGGCTTTGAAGAGGTTATCACTCCCATAATTTATAAAAAGTCGCTATGGAAAAAGTCAGGCCACTTAGAAAACTACAGCAATCATATGTACACAGTAACGGGTGCATCGCCCTCGCGCGACGACAATCCTGATGCGACCGAAGACAATGAATACGGTCTCAAGCCCATGAACTGCCCAGGCCACTGCATGAT